ACCCCAATGTCTTTTTCCCAATTATTTTTAGTTTTTTCCCAAGTAATAGGCCTTAAGCTCTGTATCAGTTTGTATATGACGGAGATTCTCCTTTTGCCAAAAGGATCTATTTCCAAAATGGTATCCACTTGATTTTTAGGAGGTAGGTACGGGAAAGAAGGAAACAATGTTTTTGCAAAACTTTTTTACAATTTAGTTTCAGGAGAAACTTTTAACACCTTTGACGCTCTGATGAGAGATTACAATATACCAACCTCACATATGTTTAGATACTCATAATTTTTTTTTATCAAATGTATTATCTAGAAAATGGTCGAAAGTGTGAAAAATTCCTGTTATCTCCTTTATGTTTCTACTTTTTCTGACCTAAAGTCCAAAATTTCTCTCATTTGTGACAAAGTAAAACTTAAAATCCATTAACAAAGCAGGAAACTGTAATTTAACATTTTCCATACGAAGCATATATGCTGATTAAATTTCTGTAAATAAACAGCTGAAATATTATTTTAGCCACATCTACCATTCGCTGTAACGTGGTTATTTTCTTGGATGCTCCCTTTTAAAAGCTTCCTCGGCAGTGTAACCACATAAATGTAAAAACCCCGCGTTCTTAAACTGTGCGTGACACCGTGGCGAGGCGAGCAGACTTTGCTACCTGCGCTGTTTCCGGGGCTGCCGTGACTCTTAGAGGACTGCCGGCGAGCAACGGGTCCGGGGATCTGCTCCTCACTCAGATCCCCATTTGTCAGAGAGCTCCCTCTGGAGTCCCCCGGGGACTCACCCTGCGAACCCCCCACTGAGTGCCTGTTGCTCCTGAAAACAGAGAAAGAAAAGAAGAAGAAGACATATCAACATCTGCACTTACTTTATTTAAGGAATTTTATTCACCTCGTCCTTTTATATCCTTTGTTTTGACGACTCACAATTCAACCACACACGCAGAGGTGTCAGCTGCTTTTCCTCTCTGAACACTATCATATTTTCCCCAACGCTAAATATAACTTTTCTGACGAGAAAGAGAAAAGCACCATGGCTTGCCCCCCCCAGGACCGAGGAATGCTGGGGCCGAGCTTGGACGGCGATCTCTAGATTCAGTTGTTTACGCAGCTCAATAAGGAGAAGAACTAACAGCGCAGTGTGCACGTCTGCATGTTTTTATGACCATGTTCGTGCAATGGGAACACTTGAGAACAGCATAAGAAGCCTCTCATCTTGTCTGTTGGTGGCATCTCTTCACATGCAGTATAGAGATGTTGACTGCCTCGCCATGACAGCAGCGGTTTAGGCTCTTGGCTGAACTGTGCTTAATGCCCCCCACAGTGTTTAGAGGGAAATACCATCTGACCCCATGCACTCCCGCAGCAAAGCTTGGAAATAAATGCAGCCTGCTCCACTATTTATTATCTCGCTACCATTCTAGCCAGTGAGAGCTGCGTCTGAAACCACACTTTGGGGGGGGGATAACATGCTGGCACTCTGCATAAGTTCTTCAATCGACTGTGATGGCAATGGCTTCCTCCACTCGACCCTTTTCTTCTCTTTTCTGCATTTATTTTGATCACAATTATGCCTGTTCTTACTGCACCACAACGTCTGCAGACTTTCTAAAGCAGTGGGATTAAAGAAGCCTTTTTTTTTAAAGGCATTTTTGGTTTGTTAGGCTATAAAGAATCACAAAGTCTTTTAAAAATATGACTTCTGGAAATAAACATTAAGACAGAATAATGCTGAAATTATAGCTTTTATAAATACACTATTATTCTGGTGTTCAGCTATTCAACAGGAGATAATCATGACTTGTATTTGATGTTTTGCTCGCCTGATCTGCCAGAAAAGTGAATCTCTTTGGAGTTTTATTGCCTATTAGAAAAATTGAGCTGATTTTTATTTTTTTTATTTAATTTTTTAGACATAAGCTATAACTTTAGCTTATCTAATGCAATATATCCCTCAGGAGATGCCAGTACAGTCTACAGTATTCCCCACATAACTCATAAAGAAGCTCTAATGAAAGCTGGCTACAGTGTATGCACCTCCTTTTGTATATCTTGTTATATTTCATGTTATAATTCAGAGATTTTATAAGCCTAAATGTCACTGTTCATTATGACAGTCATGGAGTTATGACAATTAAGAAATCCCAGACTTTTGGGCCGACTGCCCTGCTGCGTCACCCCAAGCTCTTCAGGAGCTGGAGAGCAAAACAACAATATCCCGCGACGTGCCCTAATAAAATAATAAAATAAAATATCAAATTTCCCCTAGATGACAGCAAGCTGTGCAGATCCAGGAGCCCAAAGTCCGTTTTATGCAGATGCCAGATGGTGGGAATTATTACACCGTGACGCAAACGCAAAAATTTGGGAAAGGGATAAATGATCCCCCTTCTTGTGTGGAGAAAACCACAACTAACCACCACATATGTTGGTAGAAAAAGATTCAGTCTTGAACTGAGCGATTTCCCAGAATCCCCCGTTACATGTGTAACGGCACAATGAGTTGCATGTTAACCATAGTTTTACTCCATTCTTAAAATATTGTTGAAGCATTGTTGAGGACTGTAGCCAAATCCCAAACAGTCACAGTGTGTGCGTCTTTGTGTGCGTTTTCTGACCTGGCCTGTGATCCCGCTGTACTGGGAGTCTCCTCGCTCTGTGTCCTCCTCAGGTTGGGTCTATCCGACTGAAGTATCTCTGCAACAAAGACCGATTACATCATTAGTGGACAGACATACACACTGACACATCCACATCACGCTCCTACCAGCACATTAACAGTTCAGCAGTGAATCCTTGACTAGATAAAAATCAGTCAAGTCTCCTTTAGCTTGTGACAAAACAGTGACAGTTCGGGCTGTTTCTGTCTCCTGCAGTAGACAGCCCTGTTACTATAGCAACCCAATAAAGAAATAAAAGAGAAGGATGTAGAGTCAGGTTTGGTTTTATTCGCTAAACAGTCACAGGGCCAAACAAGTGCACGTGCAAGATTTCTGAAACTAAAAATGAGGATGTGTGAAATTAATTTAGTGTATTATTTAATTCACGCAATATTTCTGCAAGGTAAAACAGAAGGTTTAACCTCAGACACCACTGTTTATCTGCAGGAAATGTCACACTTGGTTTT